AGCCTAGTCACTGTCGGCCTGTAGAGGCTTTGTTGAGCTGCTGTGGGCTCCGCCCCGCTGCCCAGTGAACTTCCCTTCAGTCCTGTTTATATGGGTGTAGTTAGAACTGCTTTGGCGATGGTGGCCCGCCTCTGTTGAGGCAGAGTCTCTCTGCTGTGGTGGGTTGCCTTGGCAACAGCGGGCTGCCTCAGCAATGGCAGGTTGCCTAGGCAACGGCGGGCTGCCTCAGCAATGGCGGGTTGCCATGGCAACGGCGTGCTGCCTCAGCATTGCCCGACTACCTCCGTCCTGGCGGGCTGCCTCGGTAATGGCGGACGCCCCTCCCCAACAGAGCTGGACCGTCCCGGGTTCAGCTGCTCTTGCTATGAAAGTCTCAATCCAGAGTTTCTTGTTGCTGTTTTTTTGTGGGGGTGGGACCAGCTGAATCTGATCGCCTGGCTCCCTGCCTCAGATCCTTTTTTAAGTTGGTGTTCCAGTCGACTGTTGAAAAGGCGCCAGGGTCTGTTTTTTTTCCCCCGCAGCCACTCACTGCTGTGGCTAAAACAGTGGCACGGAGGTTGGTGGGGCTTCTTTTTTTTTTTTTTTTTGCCCTGGAATCTACTGTCCTGGTTCTCTGCTCAGTCTGCGTTTTAAACAGATGAATGGGCGACTTCCCGTGGCTCCAATCACCAGCAAAAAGGGCACCCAGACTGGTGTATTTTGTACAGAGAACCGCTGCTCCGTGGCGCCAACAAAGCAGCCGCGTGGGTAAAAACAGCAGCGCCGGCCCGCACAACCACGCTGGACGAAACAGCCTCACTGAGGACAGTGGAGCTGCTCTGCCTGGGAATTTCCTAGTCTGTGGGCAATAAAAATGTGGTGCCCACTAACCGTCGGTGCTTTAACTGGGAGTTGCAATACTGAGCTGTTCCTAAACGGCCATCTTGCTTCTTCCTCCTTATTGGTAATACTTATATGCCTGTATAAGTATGGAAATATCTGTTTCCAGCTTTTCCAAAGAAAGGATTTCAGAACTGCTGCACCCACATATCAGTTGAACTCTGTAACTTGATTGAGCAGCTTGACAACAATTCTCCTAGATAGGTCCGTTTATGTTTTAGAGCAAGATGTTTCTCATTACAGCCTATACTCCCATTCACTGTGAAATATCCAAACGCAGCTTTTAGAAGAAACGTGTTTCTAACTCGCTGAACCTAAACATAGATGTAACTTCCTAAGGTGAATGAACACAAAGCAGAGCAGTTTGAATTACAGATTTCTCCTGTGTTTTAAACGCAGTCTTCCTGCTAGTTCTTATATGCGTGTATATTGCTTGAAATATCTGTTTCCAGATTCCCCAAAGAAAGGGTTTCTGAACTTCTGCACACACACATCAGTTTAACACTGTAAGTTGATTGTACAGCTTGACAGACAATCTGCTAGATAGCTGTGTTTTTTTTAGAGCAAGATATTTCTCATTAGAGCCTATACTCATGTTCACACTGGAATATCCAAACGCAGCTTTTAGAATAAACGTGTTTCTAACTCGCTGAATCTAAACATAGATGCAACTTCCTAAGGTGAATGAACACAAAGCAGAGCAGTGTGAAATAGACGTTTCTCCGGTGTTTTAAACGCAGTCTTACTGCTAGTTCTTACATGCCTCCATATGGCTGCAAATATCTGTTTCCAGATTCTCCAAAGAAAGGATTTCTGAACTGCTGCACACACACATCAGTTTAACTCTGTAAATTCATTTTACAGCTTCACAACCATTCTGCTAGATAGCCGCGACTTTGTTTTAGAGCAAGATATTTCTCATTAGAGCCTATACTCCCAATCACTCTGGAATATCCAAACGCAGCTTTTAGAAGAAACGTGTTTCTAACTCGCTGAATCTAAACATAGATGCAACTTCATAAGGTGAACACACACAAAGCAGAGCAGTTTGAACTAGATGTTTCTCCTGTGTTTTAAACGCAGTCTTACTGCTTGTTCTTATATGCCTCTATGTGGCTGGAAATATCTGTTTCCAGATTCTCCATAGAAAGGATTTCTGAACTGCAGTACACACACATCAGTTTAATCTGTAAGTTGATTGTGCAGCTTCACAACAATTCCGCTAGATGGCTGTGTTTTTGTTTAAGAGCAAGGTATTTCTCATTACAGAATACAGTCTCATTCACTCTGGAATATCCAAACGCAGCTTTTAGAAGAAACGTGTTTCTAACTCGCTGAATCTAAACATAGATGCAACTTCCTAATTTGATCGAATGCAAAGCAGAGCAGTTTGAAATACACGTTTATCCTGTCTTTTAAACGCAGTCTTACTGCTAGTTCTTATATGCCTGTATATTGGTGGAAATATCTGTTTGCAGATTCTCCAAAGAAAGGATTTCTGAACTGCTGCACACACACATCAGTTTAACTCTGTAAGTTGATTGTACAGAATGACCACCATTCTGCTACATAGCGGCGTTTTTGTTTTAGAGCAAGATATTTCTCATTACAGCCTACAGTCTCTATCACTCCGGAATATCCAAACGCAGGTTTTAGAAGAAACGTGTTTCTAACTCTCTGAATCTAAACATAGATGCAACTTCCCAAGGTGAACGAACACAAAGCAGAGCAGTTTGAAATAGACGTTTCTCCTGTGTTTTAAACGCAGTCTTACTGCTAGTACTTATATGACTGTACATGGCTGAAAATATCTGTTTCCAGACATTCCAAAGAAAGGATTTCTGAACTGCTGTACACACACATCAGTTTAACTCTGTAAGCTTATTGTGCAGCTTGACGATCATTCTGCTAGATACCTGCGTTTTTGTTTTAGAGCAAGATATTTCTCATTACAGCGTATTGTCTCCGTCACTCTGTAATATCCAAACGCAGCTTTTAGAAGAAACGTGTTTCTAACTCGCTGAATCTAAACATAGATACAACTTCCCAAGATCAGCGATCAAAAAGCAGGGCAGTTTGAACCAGACGTTTCTCCTGTGATTTAAATGCAGTATTACTGCTAGTTCTTACACGCCTGTATATGGCTGGAAATATCTGTTTCCAGATTCTCCAAAGAAAAGATTTCTGAACTGCTGAACACACACATCATTTTAACTCTGTAAGTTGACTGTAAAGCTTGACAACCATTCTGCTAGATGGCTGCGTTTTTGTTTTAGAGCACGATATTTCTCATTACGGCCTACAGTCTCATTCACTCTGGAATATCCAAACGCAGCTTTTAGAAGAAACGTGTTTCTAACTCTCTGAATCTAAACATAGTTGCAACTTCCTAAGGTGAACGAACACAAGGCAGAGCAGTTTAAACAAGACGTTTCTCCTGTGTTTCAAACGCGGTCTTACCGCTAGTTCTTATATGCCTGTATATGGATGGAAATATCTTTTTCCAGATACTCCAAAGAAAGGATTTCTGAACTGTGGTACACACACATCAGTTTAACTCTGTAAGTTGTTTGTACAGCTTGACAACCATTCTGCTAGATATCTGCGTTTTTGTTTTGGAGCAAGATATTTTTCATTACAGCCTATGCTCCCGTTCACTCTAGAATATCCAAACGCAGATTTTAGAAGAAACGTGTTTTTAACTCTCTGAATCTAAACATAGATGCAACGTCCGAAGGTGAGCAAACACAAAGCAGAGCAGTTTGAACTAGACGTTTCTCCTGTGATTTAAACGCAATCTTACTGCTAGTTCTTATATGCCTGTATATGGCTGGAAATATCCGTTTCCAGATTCTCCAAAGAAAAGATTTCTGAACTGCTGAACACACACATGAGTTTAACTCTATAAGTTTATTGTACAGCTTGACAACCATTCAGCTATATAGCTGCGTTTTTGTTTTAGAGCAAGATATATCTCATTACGGCCCAGAGTCTCATTCACTCTGGAATATCCAAATGCAGCTTTTAGAAGAAACGTGTTTCTAACTCTCTGAATCTAAACATAGATGCAACTTCCTAAGATGAACGAACACATAGCAGAGCAGGTTAAAATAGACGTTTGTCCTGTGTTTTAAACGCAGTCTTACTGCTAGTTCTTATATGCCTGTATATTTCTGGAAATATCTGTTTCCAGAATCTCCGAAGAAAGGATTTCTGAACTGCTGCACACACACATTAGTTTAACTCTGTAAGTTGATTCTACATCTTAACAACCATTCTGCTAGATAGCTGCGTTTTTGTTTAAGAGCAGGATATTTCTCATTACCGCCTATTCTCTGATTCACTCTGGAATATCCAAACGCAGCTTTTAGAAGAAACGTGTTACTAACTCGCTGAATCTAAAAATAGTTGCAACTTCCTAAGATGAACGAACACAAAGCAGAGCAGTTTGAAATATAGGATTCTCCTGTGTTTTAAAGGCAGCCTTACTGCTAGTTCTTATATGCCTGTATATGGGTGAAATATCTGTTTCCAGATTCCCCAAAGAAAGGGTTTCTGAACTGCTGCAAATACACATCACTTTAACCGTGTAAGTTGATTCTACAGCTTAACAACCATTCTGCTACATAGCTGCCTTTTTGTTTTAGAGCAAGATATTTCTTATTACACACTATAGTCTCATTCACTGTGGAATATGCAAAGGCAGCTTTTAGAAGAAAAATGTTTCTAACTCACTGAATCTAATCATAGATGCAACTTCCTAAGGTGAACGCACACAAAGAAGAGCAGTTTGAAATAGACGTTTCTCCTGTGTTTTAAAGGCAGTCTTT